GGGACGGAGAGCGCGCTCCCGGGGGTGGGGGAGGGCCGGAGGCCAGGCTCGCGAGGCTTTGGGCTCGGACCCGCCTCTGGGAAGAACCTGCAGCCGCGGCTGGGGGCGGGGGCCTCCGTCTCCTTCTCCGAGCGAAACAGACCCCCGGGCAGGTCACTCGCGAGTGACTGGGGGCTGGTCCCGAGCCCTATGGCCCAGCGTCTCCACAGGCGTAGGTGGGGCACCACGTTCCTTTCCAAATAAATGTAATCAGTGTAAAATGGGCGATTAAAAGATTTTAAGAGGAACAAGCCGCGCCAGACTGAACGGAGTCCGCGGGTGGGGCAGGTAAAGGCGCCGGGCCCAAGCTCCTGCCCGAGTCTGCAGAAGGGCAGGCGCCCTGTCCTGGGGGAGGTGGGACTGCCACCTTATGAGTCAGCAAGGCCCCCAGACCCATGGGGCATGTGGCCTCGTGCTGGCTGCTGTGCAGCACCAACCACTGCCTCCGTGCACAGGCAGAGAAACTGAGGCAGAGGAACACCAGGGGAGCGAGTTTGGCCCCAAGGGTCCTTGGGTGTGACCTCAATTGTGTTCCCTCAACTGCTTTGGACAGCAACCTGGGCCGAGGCCAGGAAGGCCCAATCCCTGCATGAGAACCTCCAGGCCAGGCACCAAAGTGCCACTACGGCAGGGGGACTGGTGCTGTCCTTGAACTATCCTCCCCTGCCTAAAATCCCACTAGTGGGCCCCTCGATCCTGAGTGGGGGAAAGGCTGCTTCCCACATTGTATATCTGTGCCCCAAAAGTGACACCCTCCACCATGTCTACACTGGGGACCCCTGCACCCATATTCCCAGATCCTGAGGGAGTGAACCCAGTCCCCTGGTCTCCCTGGAATCCTCCAATGGCCCGCTGTGCTGGTAACTGGGTGGGGAAATTAGCGGTTTATGACCTCTCTTGGCTGCCTTCTCTGCTGCACTCAGAGGTGCCTCTTATCTGCCCCAGGAAGGAGCCTACGGCCCTGAATGGCTCTGACTCATCCAATCACACCCATAACCAACAGCTTAAACCACAGTTCCCCCTGGGGACCAGTAAGTCCAAGCGGAACGGGTGAGGACATGAAGCAGGCCCAAGTCCTGGGGGTAGTTTAGGCTCTGGAGGATGGGGTGGGCCAGGGAAAGATCCCGGGGCTCAGAGCAGGGACTTCTAGGTGGTGTCACATTTGGAGACGGCATCCCAGGTGGTGGTGCTGGCCCCCACAATGTCCAGCCCTGTATCTCGAGCCCATGGCTCCTTCCTGCTCTCCAGCCACCCCACCTTCACTCCGCCCACATTCCACTCCCATTCTGCCTCCAAACAGATCAAGCCCGCAGCCTGGTCTTTCCACCAGGCCCTCTGCCTCAGGGAGCCAGCAGGGCCTGCCAGGAGGCTTCCCAAAAGTAGTACCTTTGGTGGGGCCAAGGGTCCAGGGTACCTGGATGGAAGCGCCTCTCTCTGGGGCTCTGCCCCCAGCAACTCTCAGGGTCCCCTGTCTTGAGGAGATGAAACCCCAGGGTGTCAGCTGGCTCTGCAGGATGCCTGACTGATGCTCTCATGGGGACAGGAGAAGCAGATCCTGTAACTTCGGTTCCCAGCCCCAGCCAGGCCACCTGAGGTGCCTGGGCCTGGAAACGGCAGGCCCAGTCCAGCACGGCCTTCTGGCCCCACTAAAGGGACCCACCACAGCCCCACAGCAGGAAAGACCTCTTGCTCCCCATGCCTACCTATGCCCAGGTTCACAAATTATAGCTAGAAAACAGCAGCTCACTCTGTCTCCTGTGTGGGCACTAGCTAGCCCACTTAAAGTAATCCTTGTCTTCATGCCAGCCCTACGAGGCAGGTGCTGTTGGTCCCACCCTGCATTAGAGGAAGGCACAAGTGCCATGGCTGATGCCTGGCCAAGTGTCAAGAGTCAGTACTGGGGTCAGGCTGAATCCAGGCAGACCGGAACCTCTGTCCCAGCCACAGGAAGGGCATACCTGGCAGTCTTCACGTCTGGCCCGCTGCCCTGGGCCATATACCACACACATGCACACCTGCACAAGCTTGCACACACACACTCCAGCAGTCTTGTGCTGAGCTGACTATCACAGCCTCTACCCTGCTCCAGCTTGTACCAGACTGGTTCCTTGCAGGTAGGAGAATGTCCAGCTACTGGACAAGGAGACCAGACTTGCCCAAGGTTTCCTCCTGAGTGGGAGGGTCTACCACACTTAACCCCAGAGCCCAGAGCTTAGGGTGGCTAGTACTCAGTCCCCAGCCTAGGTCCCTACTGGTACTCCAGCCTGGCACCCCAATCCCTCCCAGGGAGGCACAGCACAGCACCTGGGCTGCTCCTGGAGGCTGCAGTCTTCTGGAGCTCGCACGGTAGTTACCTGCGAGCCTCTGATAACAGCACAACCTCTGGGTTAGCTGCCCAGGTAACACTGGGCCGGGGAGCTCATGACTCAGCAATCTTTGGGGTAAATAATTTAACTGCAGAGCCCAGCACAGAGCTGCCTGCAGGTGGTGCCCGCCCATAGGTCAGAGGGCTCTGGAATCCACTGGCCAGCCTCTTTTTTTTTTTTGAGTTGGAGTCTCACTCTGTCGCCCAGGCCAGAGTGCAGTGGCATGCTCATGGCCGCCACAGCATTGACCTGCTGGGCTCCAGCAATCCTTCTGCCTCAGCCTTCCAAGTAGCTGGAACTACAGGCACACACTACCACGCCCGGCTAATTTTTTATTTATTGTAGAGATGAGGTCTTGCCAAGTTGCCTGGACTAGTCTGGAACCCAAGGGCTCAGGCAATCCACTTGCCTCCCAAGGTGCTGGGATTATAGGCTGAGCCACCGAGACCGGCCCAAGTCAGCCTCTTGACACCCCCTAGCCTGCCTGGCCTGGGGACTGCCTCAGGTAAGAACCATCCTAGGTCAGGTTTCTGACCACAGTAGAGGGGTTCCCTGGGTGGGGTGGGGGGGGGCAGAAACCAAGGCCAAAAATGCTCCTAACCACAGTTTCTCAGGCTCAGAGCAGGTGGCCATACAGTCCCCATCCCACACACCTGGACCCCAGGGGTGTGGAATGCACTTCAGGGCATCCAGGGACCCTGTCTGGTGGGTCTTCAGAGGAAGGAGACAGCACTCTTATAGGCCATCATGGCTGTGCCTGGCTGCCTGCACTGGCCCTCCAAGGTGGGACCTCACTGCCTTCTAACTCCTCAGAGACTCCAGCTCGTGGTCTGGACATGCACACAAACCCAGGCAGGTTCCAGGAAGCAGCAAGCATTTGCTTAAGATGGCTACAAGTAGAATTCTAACCACGGGGGCACTTTGGAGCCTGTAAACAGAACAAACCAAGGCCTTGCATGTGACCTCTAAGCCCCACCTCCCTGACGCTGGGTGCTCTGAGTAGGAAGGAAAGGTCCAGAGGTGATTCCCAGCACTGTGGGCACAGCGTGCTGTGTGCAGAAAGCCAGGCCTCTGTCCCCTTGGGACAGAGCAGTATGCCTGTTCCACAGAGCACTGGCGTGGCCTGTGTGGTTTTAGTACACACTAGGAACAGGGGCCCCATGAGCAGAGATGATAGATGCCACCACTCACCTTCCCTCACGCTGGCCCTGACCAGGCCACTCTCTAGGCTCGTTCTTGGAATTCTGCCTCAAAGATGGGCAGATGGGACAGGCTGGTGTCTGAGGCCACTCCCCTCGGCCGGTGGGGATCCCCACAAGCACAAGGCTTGGTGGGGGGCCGGAAGGCCCTATTTCTCTGAGGGCCCATGGCTCAGGTGATGGAGGGGCGGTGGGAGTTGTCCACAGGAGAGCAGATAATGGTTTGGATGGGGACAGACGTGGGTAGACGGCAGGGCCCTTGCAAAAGCAGGGAGCTGGGGAGAGGCACGGGAGCGGCAGGAGCTCAGACGTGTCTGCACGCCTGTCTGGGTCTGTGATGCTCTGACCTGAGGCATGTGTGTGTGACAGTGGCCCCACCTGTTTCTTCCCCATCAGGGAGGGGAGCTTTAGGAAGCCCCAGGGAAGATACCAGGCAGGACCTACAGAGCCAACGGGCCGACCCTTGGAACCGCCAGTACCAGCACCTCCAAGGCACATGGTTCCTGCCATGACCTTGTCCCACCCAACAGATGGAGTCCTGGAGCGAGCAGAGCCTGACGTCCATCCACACAGGGGGAGGGTCTGGGGCCCATGCAATTGGGAGAGGCTTAGCACCCAGTTCCCCCGCTGGGTCCTTCCAGCTCCCGGGAGCAGGGCGGTCTTGGACCCCTGCCTGGGGTCATCTGAATCTGGATCCTGGGTTCTTGGGGCCCTGTGACCATGCCTTCTTCTCCGCTGCAGGTTGGCCATAGGGGCCTGGTGTCACAGGATGAACATGACCCCAGAATGCCCGAAGCAGGGCAGGGAGCCAGTGCTGGTCCGACGGCGGCCCCCGACGCCCCAGGGTCTGCGCGAAACACTGAAAGCCCGGCTGCAGCAGAGCTTCTCATGCAGTGGGCCGCGCGCCAGGGCGCTAGCACAAGACCTGGTCCCTGCAGTGCGCTGGCTGCGCCAGTACCGCCCACGGGAGTACCTGCCCGGCGACATCATGTCTGGACTGGTCATCGGCATCATTCTGGTGCCGCAGGCCATCGCCTACTCGCTGCTGGCTGGGCTGCAGCCCCTCTACAGCCTCTACACATCCTTCTTCGCCAACCTCATCTACTTTCTCCTGGGCACCTCGCGGCATGTCTCTGTGGGTATCTTCAGCCTGCTGTGCCTCATGGTAGGCCAGGTGGTGGACCGAGAACTCCAGCTGGCTGGCTTTGACCCCTCCCAGGACAGCCCGGGGCCTGAGGCCAACAGCAGCGCCCTCAACAGCTCAGCCTCCATGCCAGACTGCGGGCGCGACTGCTATGCCATCCGCATTGCCACCGCCCTAACACTGATGACTGGGCTTTACCAGGTGAGGAACCAGCACTCAGGGATGGGGACGGGCCAGAGCAGCCACTTGGAACACCTCCTCAGGTGCTTGCCACCCACAAGGACAAGCCCAAGAGGAAGTAGAGGGTCAGGGCAGAGAAGGCATCAGCCTAACCTGGGGACAGAGCAGGGCACAGTGGAGGCAGGGCATGCAGGGCATCCCAGGGCAAAGCACCCACCCCAAGGGGCTGGGGGGTGCAGGGGGAAGGACATGGGGAGCCAGCCTGGCTGGCTGCAGCCTAGGTGGGCACCAACAGGCCAAGAGTGGTAGAGGCTCAGAGGTACAGATTGTGGTCACTTGGTCTCCTGGGATTTCTGCCCCAGGTGGGATCCAGGGACAGGGCTGCCCTGGAGGCTGCACCTGCTGGCTCATGTGGCTCACCACCTGCAGGGGAGGGAAGTGGGGGTGGCACTGTGTGCAGGAACCAGGAGGAAGGGGCTGCCTTCTAACACCCAGAGGCCTTGGTTCTGAAATAAAATGGGGCCCTACATGCATCAGAGGATAAGAAGCAGCCACATGCCAGGCTCGGTGGCTCAGCCTGTCATCCCGCGCCTTTGGGAGGCTGAGGTGAGTGGATGGCCTGAGCCCGCGGGGTCGAG